TAATTTACTTATCACAATACTCAGTAATCTATTTATGGAAGAATCATCAGATCTATTTATTATCTTAATTTGGTTAACTAACTGCTTAAGAATTTCGAGTGGATCATTTTCTTCTTTTCTTGATTCATTTCCTTCTTGATCCGTATCATCTTCCGACGTTTTAATCGGCCTTTTTCTACTAATTATTTCTCTATTACTTACCCTTTTAATATCCGTCTCTTTATTTATATTATTATACTTAGATACTTTAGACGTACCTTGACCTCCTACCCTTGTTACATCTTTGACATGTGACCTTTTTGGTTTTCTAATCCATACTATGTCTTCTACTTCTGTATCCTTTTCTTCTTCTATTAATTTTGATAATTCGTTATATTTATTTTTATCACAGTAACTTTTTTCTAGTCCGTATTCATCCCTCCTTTTTTCTTTTATCGTCGGAAAATCTTTTTCCTTATCTATAGTGTAAGGGTTAAATTTAACAACTCTTGAATATTTGTCATTTCGCAAAATATTCCTCGCCTCATGAAAGGCTATATTATGAGTCCCCATCAATTCATAAATATTTTTATGCCTTTTGAATTCCGGGCATTCAGTACTATTTGCAACGTGTTCCCCGGAGCATAAACAGCATCTTAAGTTTAAAATTTCAGTACAGGCTTCTATTCCATGTTGTTCTGAACATTTCGGACATCTTTTTTTACTTTTACATTGTTCTTTTATATGACCAAAGAACCAACAATTATGACACTGCACTACTTTTTTAATGTATGGACTAACCCTACATTTTACTGAATATATTGAAATTTTCTCCGGCAATTTGGAGCCCCTGAATGTTAATTTCACACATTGCGATTTATAATTGATGTTATTACCTCTTTTTGACTTTAAACATTTTACTTCCACCACTGGATAATCAGATTCTATAACATCCATTATTTCGTCTTCCGATAAATTAATATCAACGTCAAATATTATCCCCTGTCTTACTACTAGATATTTAGGAATGTAGGTCCTGAGATTATTCATCTTGAAAAATTCATCTTCCAGTAAACTATTGGCTATTTCTGCATTTTTAATTACTAGTTTTATTTTGTTTTTTCCAATTTGTACAATTTCTGATAATTCTGTCTTCAATTTTGGAACTGATTTATATAACATCCTTCCGATTGCCATGTGATGTAACCTTCCAATATTTTTATTTATTGATTCCACATATATATGATATGGTCCTTTATCGTATTCTTCAAATCGTATTTTATTGTTTCGAGCATAGTTACTAGACTTTACTTCATTCATGTCAACCATTTCTTCACTAACCATGTTATTGTTAATAGAATTTGATTCATTCTGATTAACATTTTCTTCATTATTCGCATTAGGTACACTATCAGCTTCTTCTCTTATTTTATCATTACTACTGCGTTGAATAGCCTTTACATTTTTATTTATTGTATCATTACTTTTCTGAACTTCAACTTTTGAATTGACTCCACTTTCTAATCTTTTGACTTTGTTATTTTTTGCGCTAGTCACCTTTTTAATGAATTTCATTGTTCTGTTAATTTTATTTTCTTTATTACTATTTACATAATTAGAGTTCCTTAGATTTGTTTCTTTTTTATTAACTTTTGTGGGATTAGTTTTATTAATTCCAATCTTGATTTTATTAGATTTACTATCTAAATTGTGAATACTTTCACAACTACTTAAATCTATTTCTTGATCATCTATACTATAATCCATACTACTTTCATTGTTAAAATCTTCAAGGTCATTTAGCACATGCATTGCACCTGCAATGGTTGCGCCTAAATCTGAATGTTGTGTAATGCCTTTATCAGGCGGCCGACTGCCCTCGTGCCCGAACGGGCCCGACTCCATTGTTTGTTTATCAGCTCACTATCAAAACACAACAGGTACAAGGTTTGCTTTCACTAAACTTCAAAAAATATAAATTTATTTCGAACGATGTGTACGCTTCGAATGCTCACACAAGACTGCGAACAAAAACTTCTCCTTCGGGAAGTTAATTAATGCAATTTAATTCTGGTAATGCAATTTAAATCCTTTTACCGAAACAAATACTTGTATTAGATTTAGGCAATATTTTTTTAGTATTTGTTCTTTTATTTTATTGTTCACGGGTTTTTCGAGCATAGGTGCCTAGTTTTTTTTTTAAAAAAAAGCATTTCCTGCGAAAACTACCTATACGTTCTGAATAATGTTTTCAAATTTGTATCAGAGGAAATTTGAGATATATAGCTTTGATTATCCAAATTAGAGATAGGTACTATTAAATACAAATTGTATTATGTTTGTAAATCATTTTGTTTATCAATGTTTTGAAAACAAACGTATACGGATTATGATAGTGATTTGAATCTCAGTGTCAATACAAGTGATACACTTAATGAAACTAATTAATAACAAAGGTGCAGAAACTAATAATACAACAAATTTAAGTGTACTCAAAGGTAGTGACTTGGTGAATATAAATAAACTCAGTACGTAAGGTGATACGAAAGTTAACATAAACAAGTGGCAATTATTCCAGGGTCAGAACAAGAGGCAAATAAGTCATGTTATAAATATGCTAACCTTAAACTTTCTAATAAATATAGTACGCTAGTTAACGACTCTAATTCTGCAAACACAAACATCAATGATTCACCTAGTCTATCCGATATGAAAACTTGTGGGGTGTATCATGCCTTCTTCCCGTACCGCAATTAAAAATCTTGGTGCGGAACCCAATGAAATATACACAAAATGTGTACACATTATTAAAATCTCTGATAATTTGATGTGCAATTATCTAATTATCATTTTTGACCACAAAAAGGCATTTTTTTAACTTATTTTTATTAAGAGTCTATAACCGCTAGTCCTGCCTTCCCAAAAATTTAATCAGTTTTTTATCTTGCCAATACTAGTAAAATGTTTTTTTGAATTATTAAAATCGGACGCTTCATTCTTTTGAAAACTGAGTTGCCATTTTTATCACTTTTTGCCCCGTATCACGAAACAGCTAGACCTACGTCAAAAACTAATTAGCACGTCTCCTTAACAATACGAATCGGATGTTTTTTGAATTATTCAAATCGGTTGATCCATGTTCCCCAAATCTTCGACGAAAATTTGTATCCGCACACACACACGCGCACACACACACATATATCCGTTTTTTTTAAGTATGTCAAAATATTCAGAAACTTCTGAAACGTAAAGATATACAAAAATTTTCATTTTCAATTTTTTTGCGATTACTATAACTTGCCTTACGGGAAGTTAATAAACAAACTTCTCCAACAATGCCTAGTACTTGTACAACAAAAACTTTGTCAAAGAGTATGATCAAAATAAGCGTGATTGATTGTGACGTTTCTTGAAATCTATTGAAATATATACAGAATACAAAAGTGGTTTGATGAAATTTAATAAACTACTGCCAGAATACCATCACTTTTTTACATCATACCTTAAGGACAGACAATTTTATATAAAAGTTGGTAATGAAGTTTCTAGTTTTTGCAAAGTTGAAGCAGGGGTACCTCAGGAAAGTTTGCTAGAACAGATGATATATGTACTACACACAAAAGACACCCTAACTTCAACTACCACCCTTATAGGAACATTTGCAGACGACACGGTAATAATGGCATCAGACATTAGTCCAGCAGCAGCCAACCAAAACGTACAGGAGCATCTCGATAAAATAGCAGACTAGGCAAGTAAATGTAGAATCAGAATAAATCAAAACAAATCGTTGCACATAATATTTTTACTGAAAAAGGGCAATTTCCTTTCAATCAGTTATAATGAAAAAAACATTCCCGAAGCTACCGTCACCGTAAAACATTACCGTCAAATACCTCGGATTTTTTCTTGACAGAAAATTGAGCTGGGTACCACACATCGGTAAAAAAGCAAAGCAAAAAGAAAACATAATTAAATCATCACACTGGCTTATAGGTCGCAATTCTAAGAATGCTACATGGTATGATTAATTCACCATGGTATGTTTCAAACAGAATTACGCACAACATCCTCAAGATTGAAACTGTACAGGAAGTAGTCCAAAAAAGAGAGTTTCGCATAAGACCCCGGAGCTTCGGCAGACTACAGACTTACATGAACCCAACCGCTTCTTCGCTTCTATCAAACCCCGGTATTAGGAGGCTCCTAGAGCAAAATTATAGCACAATGGCTTATGTGGCTTATAAAATGGAACTGTCATTTTAATATACATTGTCATTCAATGTATATTAAAAAAAAATTATACTAGATAAAAACAGAAATTATATATTCTTTATGAAAAATTCGTTTTAGTTTTTAGTTGAAAGGTTAGTTTGTCTAATTCTCTACTTGTGTAAGATCATTTGCTTTAGGTTAAATGTATTAATTATTATACACTAGTCAACGGGTAGGTATCATTTTTTCTTCTGAAAATTAGCACAAACTACGTTGTATTGAATATAATGTGTCGATAGATAAAGAAAGTGTGAATTTTAGCGTATATTTCTAAAATAAACTTTATTTTGTTTATATTTATGCGAGCATCATATTGGATAGTTTTTTCTTAAATTAACTCAATAAGTTTTGCTTATTGAATATTGCCAAATAGTTCTTTGTCTAATTGATCAACACAAACATCAGTTATTATAGTTGTCAGGTAGTTCATGCCTTAAGCAAAAAATTATGATTTTGCTTTTTGGTTAATAGTCGGTCTGACACTCTCTTCAATTATTCTTACTGTGTTATTTAATATTAAATATTTTTAGGTATCGCAAACATTTTTAAAACTTGATAAATTTCAATTCTTTTTCATAATAATTGGTTTTGTTCAGATACCTGTCTTGTAATGAATTGAAAAAATAAAAAGATAATTTGAATTATTATTATTACTTGACTAAACTATTTTCAAATATAAAATGCTACTTTACCTGCTTCTAACTAGTTTTGTGTACATATTTAATACAATTACTATTATGTTAAAGGAACAAGCTATTAAAAATTTCGCAAGGTATCGAATTCCCCGGTGATATACGATGGGAGCTAGGAGCGTGTCTGGTTTGTGCTTGGGTACTAGTATATTTTGCAATATGGAAATCCATCAAATCTTCAGCTAAAGTGAGTATACGTTAATAACACATTGTATTTCAAATAACTATTTATTATTTATTATTAGCATTTAGTATACACAATAGTTTGCTGGACCTTACAGAATATTAAACTGATAAATTTCGTTGAGTATATTACTTTGAAAAAACTATTATGCGAATGTCTGAGGTATCTGAAAATGTTTGATAGTACTAACCTAATCTTATTACAAACAAAATAATATTTCGAAATTTTTTTAACAACGAAAATACTTATATTTTATAAACATAAATTATTATACAACAAAAAATAGCTTTTGTAATATGTATCAAAAATATAATACTTAACTAAAAAATTTGTATATAAATACAATAATTGCAAAGGCTGCTTTCACTGCAGAGAACTATATTTTTAGTAATTGTATAAGTATTAAATAAGTTACTTGAGAAAAATGCGTTCTCTAAATTAATAAAAAACTATATCATCGATTTCCAATTATATGTTTTATATTATATACTTATTGTATATATAAGTGGTGTTGTGCTAATATTTTTTTTGCCGAAACGCTAAAATTTAAAAACCGGTTTAAAAACCGGTTTTCATGTTTGTTGCGGTTTCTTTCGAAAAGGAAAGGAACAAAAATTATTACAAAACTCATTTTGTGCACATATATGTATATTTATTACTATAATAGGGACATTTAATAAAAAATAGTTGAATTATAATTTATAAAATTCACTTATTAAATTATTTTCTGTATGTAGCGATTTTTTAATTTTTTTTACCGGAACGCGTTCCGGCCTCGACAACACCACCGTATATATATATATATATATATATATATATATATATATATATATATATGAGTAAGTTCTTAAGGGCGATACATCAAGTAAAGAAAAGGCAAAGATTTATAAAGTAATCTTTAATTTCTAACGTTTCGACATACAATTCGATGTCATCATCAGTGGATCTATAAGGTAAAAGCTTTGAAAAAAATTGATAAACTAGGTAACTATGGGAATTATAATTTTATATAGAAACTATAAATAGAAAAAAAAACTAGGAACTAACAAAACAACAACACTTATCAAGCTAAGGAGAGAAACTAGAATAATGAAATTCAATTAAATAAAGATATATATTTGTAATATTAATATTACAAATATGTATCAACGTCGACAAAACTATCACCATAAAGATATATATATATATATATATATATATATTTTATAGTTACGGTAAATGTGAATATTTCGGCGAATGTGCACATTCACCGGTGAATGTGCACATTTATTGGCTCATTTGGCGAATGTGAGTTCAACTCACGCACGTGCGCACATGCGGGTGAAATAC